CGTCCGTCGTGTGACGAACATCGTCAGAGCAGGACGCCATGTTTTAGGATAATTACACAAAATACGGAAACGAGAAGGATGTCCGGCTGCAATCCTACTTGCCTCTTATAAGCTAACTTTGTACATTTAATGAGACATCCCATGAATTGGTTGGAAATCTTATGTATTTCGTATCTAAGTAGAGTTTCGCGACTACCAGTCAATCGGTAATATGAGGTGTAATCACACTATTTCGTTGAAGGTGATGAAGGACTGGTAGTAGAATTTGCCCACAATGATATGAGCAGGGCTGACGTTTCAATTCAATTTCACAGACACTTGCTTTCCCAAAAGTTGTTCGAGCTCACATCAACTGGTCTTATCAACATCCCCAGCGGGAGTCGAACCGTGACAGGGCAGAATATGAGCTATGAATTGCTAGGCCTTAGTCTCTTGTGTGCCAACCCAAAAATGTTGTGATACAGCTTGTTTTGATTAGATTCACTGTTAAACCACAACATTTGTGGGTTAAAACACAAGAGATTATGGCAGAGGAAGTCATAGAATTGGTAGTATAGATAGAAAGAGGATAGAAAAAGTGGAAGTTAGAGCTAGTTGACTAACAACAGTCGTGATTTAAGGATCACATTTAAGATCAAACACGTCTATTGTTAGCCAAACAGTTTTAGTTTCACCTCATCTTTCCTGTTTTTATCTATAATACCATCACTATCACTTCTTATGTCCTAGTCTCTTGGGTGCCAACCCACAAATGTTGTGATTCTACTTGTTTTGAACAGGTCCATTGAAGACGTCTCCTCTTTGCTTCTGCTTCTTCCTTTCTCATCCTCTTGCGATATCTTTTCCCTAAAATAAGAATATTACCTTGATCTAGTCGTCTTCTTTTTGCTGATCTTGCTGTTGCCTGGTATTCTCCGAGTTTGTTTAGGCAATATGCAAGTTTTTCGCTGATCTTGCCTTCTTCAAGTCCCCTGTTCATTAAATTCTTCTCAGTCAGTATGTCAATGGCCTCTCGGATTTTGCGTTTTCTCGTATCTTCACCACATGCAGCCAACCTTTCGGTCGATATTCAGTCGTGCCCCGTCCGTGCAATGCTTTCCGCTATTTCACGTCTTTCAGCATCCATGTTCCTGCAGATTCTTTGATGTTTCTTGATTCGACGGTTGTAATGGACAGCAAAAAGCACACGGAGAAAATGGATTGTATCCTTGCCGACCGGAACACTTATCAAATACTAAGGAAAGATCCAACCACAAATATCAACGGGATACTGAAGAATATGCTAAAGGAAATGCATAAAAATGGGGAAATTGACAGATGGATGATGAAATCTTTATTAAAAAATTACGCAAGACCACCGACAGCCTACGAACTACCGAAGATATACAAGGAAGGAAATCCGCTAAAACTAATATTCAACAACAAGCATGGAGAAATACACAAACTAGCGGAATTCATTTGCTTGACGCTCAAGAAAGTAAATGACAGACTCTCGAATAACGTAAAGAATTCATAGGTATTTTCTCAAAGGACCCAGATCATTGGGTTGGTGAGTTCCGATGTACAATCCATGTACACAAACATCTCAGCTGAGAAGGCGGTGAGCGCCTTGCTGGTGATATTGGAGCGAGAAGAGGACATCCTGGAGGCAGAACGGATACAGAAAGAATCGTCGACACGACTTATCAACCTGATGGTAAGGGCAGATTTCAACTCGGATTTTATGAGAATCAGATCAGGAATCAGGAGGAGGACCAGAAGTGGATTTGCCTGCCCTCATCAGAACTGAGCCATCGATTGCGACGGTTACTAAAGAAATTGAATATCAAAGTGATAACAAAGTAAAAGAAAATAAATTTCATCAGTCTGTCGACGCAACACGTGAAGACGGAAAAACTTGATTGCTCGAGAGCTTATCGCATCAACTGCGGCAACTGTGAGCAGAAGTATATCGATGAAAGGGGAAGAAAAATTGACCTACGAATCAAGGAACATCAAAGACTCTGCAGGAACATGAATGAGGAAAGATCAGAAAAAGCGAAACATATTGCATGAACGAGGCACGAAATCGACTAGAAATCGACTGAAAGGTTGGCTGCATGTT